CACACAGTCCCACCACGGACTTTTGATCTTTCAAAGGAAATGGTCCTAACGTAGCTGTTTCTGGTGGCATTGCCTTTCAGCTGGGCAAGGGGACAGAGAATACAGAAATAAGTGCTTGGTCTATAAATGCTTTGTGATGAAGGCTGTCCCCTCCTGCTCCAGGGTTACAGCTCAGTCCTGCATGTCAGGCAGATGGGACCATACAGGTGCTCCAGGCAGGGAGTTACCTTCAGCAAGAGGATGTCATTTCCCGTCTTAGGACTCATGAAGTCTGGGTGGCAGTGATACTCTTGGACTTCGAATGTTTGCCAGTTTTCCTCTCTCCTCTGGATTGTGTGGGCTCCAAGGATGACAGTCAGAGGTTTGTGTCTGGTAAAATCAAGCACAGTGTATGTCATTAGTTTTCTCCTATATTCCCTGGTAGCACTGAAGCACATCCCAGGGGCATGGCCAGGAGAGACCGGCTGGCCTTGAAAGAAGGATGGTGGGGGCAAGGAGCTCTGCCAGTGAATCTGCCCAGCCAAGAGGCTGAGCAAGTTCCCATCTGACAGACTGGAGCTCTCCAAGGGTTACTTTACCTCTGGATCTCGAGCTGAGTGGATTTGGTCTAATGCTGCTGCTGTGTGCTAAGGAAGGTGGACTACGCCCACGGAAGTCCATGGCACCAAGGAGGGATTTCTAGTCAGGACCCTGCTCTGCGCCAACGTGCCTTTACTGGCCTCAACATCATCTGCAGAAGGAGCTGCCTTAGGAAAACTGGGAGGGACCCTGGGTGTGAGTGGGAGTCCCTCTCAATCTAGCAGGTGAGTCTTGGGCATCGGGGCTCCGGGGTTCTGCTGATCCTCCTCTCTGCTGCTCAGATGTGGGGACTGGCCCTGTGCCCGGGGTGCTGGCACCAGGGCAGAGCTGTCAGCCCTGAGGGGTGTAGTAGCTACACTCAGAGTCGTGCACCTCTAGAATAGCCCTCTTGCCTGTCCACGTCCCAGTTTCTCCAGCTGGAAAGATGGAAGAGAGCTAGGCAAGCAGCTTGCACATAAGGGATTATTAATTCTGATAACAATCTCGGAGAGCTTTGGCAGCAGAAAGGGCAAAGCCCGACACCAGCAATCCCTGCTACGCCAGCAGGTCGGCAACAGCAAAGGAAGAAGCTGATCTGACTTCTCATTGTTGATGTCTGGGAAGAATAGGAGGGGGAATAAAAAAAACGAAGGTGAGTATCTGAATGTGGGCTGGGGAGGGACGTAGGGAAGGATGGCTCGAGGGACAGCTGTAGACACACACCCCTGCTTTTCGGTGCTCCCCCCTCGCCTTGCCCTGTCCCAGCAGCACAGCCTGCACTCCTTGCTAGGGCAAGAGTTTGGCCACAGTCGTGAAGGAGGTGACTCAAACTGTTAGACCTCCGTCTAGGAGACGTTACCCGGATTATGGCAGTGTAACAATTTCGTTGCGCCGGGTGCTGTACGAACATAGCAAAAACTTACATGAAGCACTGAGCCGCTGTCATCACCCAGTTCGGGGCCACTAGGAAGCCTCCGCAGAACTGATTGTTCTTTCCTTGCAGATAGGCCACATAAGGCGTGGAGAGAGCCTTGGCTTTACCTCCTCGCTCTATCCGATTCCAAGAGTAGTCTGCAACAGATGGGACTGAGGGTGAGGAGATGGGAGGACACAGGGCACAGGATGCGCAGTTTGGGAATCTTCCTTCCTCAGTCCCCTCCTTGCCTCCCAGCCGCTCTACTTACTGGCTTTAGCCGGGGGGCATGTCACCAGCAGGAGGGAGAGCAGGAGTTTCTGCAGGTGCTTCATCATGGCGTTCTCGGCTTCACTGGATCCCCTGGAGGTGAGGCTGCAGCTGGGGTCTCTTCCTGCTCCCAACAAGGTTTTATAGCCTGAGACTAGACTCCAGGAAACCACAGAAGTCAGACTCATCTGATTAATCTATCTGCAAATTGCATGCCTCAGCAATCTGAGAGGGGAATTCAGTCAGCCTTACCCTTGGGCATCAACCCACCTTCATCTTGGGCCCGGTCTGGGGTATCTGACGTCCTTGTAAACCCAGAGCCAGTTTTAACCCATTGCCTTTGAGCTGGAAGCTGTAGGGAGCATACCCACCCTCATCACTTTGCCTGCCAGCGTGCTCTTCCCTTGCAGCTTGTATTTGTTGTTGTGCACTTGCAAACTCTCTTGATTTTTATCAAGAGCTCTGCAAGAACAAGATTTCTTTCACTCAATGTATTGGTTCCAAAGACTGTGCTGTGGCAGTTGAGGACCCTCCTGCTCTTTCTTAGTAGATGTGTCCTGGTTAATAGTGCAAAATTAGTGTGAGTGTATTTATAACGCCACACTGGTCATGGCTACGTGAGGGCAAGAAGTCGTTACAGCAGCTTCGTGAGCGTGGCCTCAGCAGCACAACTGCTGCTGTTGCCATGAGGTCTCTGTTCTGCACCAGCTGCTGACTTAGGGCTCTGCTTTGTACAGCAAAAGACACCATTTTCAGTTTCTTTCCAGATGTGATTGCTCACCATTAAACTGGGGAGCCAGCGTGAGAGAAGACAGAGGCTACTTCTTTGACCCTGGGTCAGGGGCTCACTTTCCCTCTGTTGTGTTGAGGGTGGATGGCGACAGGGGTGCAGGTTTGGGATTCTGCCCTTTCACTGGCTAGAGATAACCTGGTGGTTTTTAAACGTCAAACAAGTGCCAGGTGCCTTTCTGCAGTGCAGGGCAGGGATCTGTTTTCCCTGGACCAAGCCCCGCAGCAGCTGCACCACCTCCGCCTCCAGCCCACGGTGAGAGGGACCGAGCCAGAGGAAGGGCTGGTGGCAGATCACTGAACACGCTCCCCCAGCCCCACAATGTCCCCTTGCCTCCCCGCTGGCACCAAGGCTCAGGCTCCAGAGGAAGAGGAGCCTGTGTGTGCACTCACCCAGAACGGTTCTTTCCCCAGCGGTGGCGGTGACGGGATGGGCTGGCACAGCCCTTGCTGCCCTCACTGGCTGCCGGTAAATTTGCTTTCCTCTCTGCCCCCAGTGCCACAGGGCAAAACCCGATTTCAAGCGAAAAGCTGCCATTCTCGTGCGAAGACTGCAGCAGCTGGAGCTTCAAGGAAAACCCTGACGTGACAAAGATTTGTACTACCCAGATAAGCAGTTGCAGCCTTTTCACTCGCCGATTAAGTAGCTGATAGCAGCTGTTAGCAGAAGCCCAAACTATGGACCCTTCTCTGTCTCCCCAGGATGGCATGGGTGCTGAAGGCAAAGGTGACGTAGTTTCCCTTTGTCCCAGGTGAGAACAGGGACTACATAAGAGCAGACACGCAGGGCTGGACTGCAGACCATCTACCTCTGGCAGAGGCGGTTAGTGGGAGCTTCAGAAGGACTGTGAGAACAAGGCAGTGTCCAATTCCCTGGAGCTGCGTGCAGTTTCTGTATGTTTAAAGTTCCCCACTGGGTTTCCCCACTGCAAACCAGTCTGGTGTCCTCCTGAACTTGCACAGACATCTGTCATCCTGCACCAGGCAGTTCTGCAGCCCAGTTATTTACTAATGCGCAGCCTCTGGCCCTTGTCATCTCCTCCAGGAAAGTGTCTGCACTCCCCTATCTGTGTGTGAGAGACATCAGAAACCAGCTGGAACAACAGAGACCAGGGCTCAGATTTCGGGCAGATTTACACCCAGTGCAGGCCGTGGAAGGAGGGGCTGGTGCAAGTTACTCAGACTCCAGTGCAGGGACTGTCTGAAAATGCTGCTAAAGCATCCTTTGTGGGGAGAAGGTCACTTCTGAGCATCACCTGGGCGAGGGGAGTCACAAGCCCTTGTGATTTATTGCTACTGCTAGAACAGTCTCTACTTATGCTGTGCTGCTAGGGCTGGGCTTGCCTTCTGGCGAGGGACAGAAACTCCAAGAGCTCCAAGGCAGGCAGCTCCCAGCTGGGACTTGCCCTTGTTTTCCCCTGGGAGAGTCGGGCTCTCCTGCTACAGTCGGCATGGGAGGGAAACAGGAAGCGGCGCGAGGGTCAGGCGCGTTGGTGAGCCCAAGCCCTTTACCAACCCTTTCAGTGCAATCCCTAAAGCCCCGTCCCCGGGATCTCAGCTGCCACCTGCCCCACACCCAAGGGGGGGGCAGGAACAGCACAGTGCACAAGAAGTCCAGCTCCCTTCACCTGCTGGAGCCTCTTACCGTTAAGATAGCTGAAAAGACCAACCTGGTTTCCCCTGTGACCCAGCCTGCTGTCTTGACTGCCCTACGTCCCAGGGCGTAACGTCACCCAGGCACAAGGTCCCCACAGAGGGGACAGTCATAGCTCTGCAGGGAACAGCAGCTTTTGACCCCTGGTACCTGCTGACACACCACATCCTGGCCATCAGCTGCTCCCAGGCATGCAGTGACATAGCTGAAGCTGGTGACGGAGTGTGTGCACATCACTTTTCCCATCCCATTCCTACCTGGACAGTTTCTCTTCCCGCACACACTCATCCCCATGACCCCAGAAAGGGCAACTGTAGCTCTTGTTCTCCAAGTCTGCCAGCAATTCAGAGGATGCAGAGCTATGACTGCCTCCGTCCCATCAGGCCGACCTCTCACCTTCACCAGCTAGACCCTCCCTGCCTTCTTCCTGGGCCAAAGTATGAGAAAGAAGACACACGCTGAGAAACAGCTCGGAGTTTACTGTGGGTGTTTTAAGTGCAGCAAGGTTCAAGCAGGAATAGGGTTATCTGCAAAGGAACCAGGGTCCGTTTGTAGCACAGCCTCTTCCTGGCGCCATACGGGATGATCCTGCTTCTGCCAGGGTGATCTAACATGGCCCTGAACCAGCTGCCTGAGATGGGCAGGCAATGGGACAGCCAGCAGCCCCAGAACAGGGACAAGGGGACTCCCGTGTGCAGCCATCAGATCACTTGGGTTCCCAAGGAGAGAGGAGGGATTCAGGCCTTCAGCAGGGGCAGGAAGAAAACCAGTGCAGTCTCCAGGGCTGCACCAACGCTGGAGCGAGTGCTGCTGCTGCTACTTCTTCAGGGTTCTTTTGATCCAGGGCAGGTACTCAGAGATGTGGGTGTAGACCCCGGGTGGGGTGTCATATCCGAAGGAAATAATGCCTTGTGCCACCTTATTGCATACCAGAGGTGGGCAGGTAGGTGCTCCGGCAGGGGGTCTGGACTAGATAATCCTTTGAGGTCCCTTCCAATCCCTGACATTCTGTGATTCTGTGTGATTCAGAGGCCCACCAGAATCTCCCTGAGGACAGATGAGAGACTGGTTTTAGTTTTAGAGGCCTCTTCCCTGTGGGAAGAGGTTTCACCTCGGTCCCTGCCTGCCCAGGCACTGCCAGCAGGGCTGTGTCTCTACCCCTGCCCCGCATGCCCACCGAGCTGGGGGAGGTGTCCGGAGCTGGCAAGTTGGGGCTCTACCCCTGGGACTGTGCATGGGCCGTGGTGTCAGGGCACCCAGAGAGCTAGCCCATAAGGGAGCTACAAATTAAATGCTTGTCACCTTTGCTGGGAACCAGCTAAGTTTGTGCCAGCAGCAGCCCCTGCTACCAGAGAGTCCATCTGCCCTATGGCCAAGCCCCCAGCCCGTCAGCAGCCCATACCTGGCTGGAATCCCTGAGCTCGTGGAAGCTGCCAGCACAGACCATGCCGGTGTCGAGATGCAGAAAGAAGCGGATGCATTTTCTGTGGCTGTAGATGAAGACTTGGGTTTCAGAGAGCTTGCTGGTTGTCTGGTCGTCATCGATTGGGCCCCACCCGGCTATGCTGCACTTGGTGCCTGTGGGGAGGTCACTGTCAGTCTTGGGCAGTAGAATAGTCTTGACATAGTCATTGAGAGTGGCCTTTGCTGTCAGCAGGAGAAAGCAAGGTCTTTGGAGAAGGCTATAAGCAGAACAGCTGAAGGACACTTTGTGCACAGAGGTAGGGGAGGTCTACCAGGACACACAGCACCGCAGGCTCTGGTGAGCTGCTGCGAATAGGGCATGCGGCTCCAAGCCCTGCCCGGGGTTCCCTTCCAGGTCCCTCCCGTTCCTGCCTGCCTCCAGCACAGAAGCAGCTGATGGTTTGCAGAAGGAGCTGATGGTTTGCAGAAGGAGCTAACAGCAATAACGTGCTCAGCCCAGACCCTGCTAGACACACAACCCCACTCTACCCTCCGACCCACTGCCTGCTGCAGGACTGCCTTGCCTTGAGCAGCACAATGTCGTTAGACGAGGTGTTGGAGCTGTATTCAGAGTGTGGATTGTAGCTGAGAACTCCCTGGATCTGCTGGGTCGCTTCTGG